GCCCGGCCCCCCTCCTGCCCCCGGGGGCCCCCCCCGGACACAGCAGGCACCCGGGCAGCCTCCCTGCCCTGCCTCTGCCTGTCCCCCTGCTGCCGCCGGGGCAAAGGGCCCTTCGTGCCCACGTGGGGTGGGCTGAGCCCTGCCAGCCCCGGGCAGCAGCACGCAGGGCTGTGCCGGGGAGCCCGAGCCCGCCTGCCGCTGCCCCCTGCCAACAGTGGGGCTGGCAGAGAGCCCAGCTGCCGGGCAGGGGCGAGCGGGACAGGCCCTGTCCCCGGTCGGGAGGGCAGAGCCAGGCTTGCTGCCCAGACGGGGACCCAGAGCCATGGCAGGCGTGGGGACGGGGAAAGCGTCACTCGCCTGCGGTGCCAGACAGAGCTGGGCGGATGGTACGGCAGGGTCCGGCAGGGTCCCACTGCAGTCATGAGCCTCCCTGTCTCTCCTTTCTCCAGCTGAATATCCTGGTGGACACAGGGAGCAGTAACTTTGCTGTGGGAGCTGCGCCTCACCCCTTCCTCCGGAGATACTACCAGCGGCAGCTGTGAGTATGCTGGGGGGACGCAGAGAGCACGGCCACCGCTCCTTGTGCCCGTGACACAGCCCCGGCCCCACGGGGGCATGCTGTCCCTTCTTGCCGGGGGTCCAGCCAGACCCTGCCGGGTGCCGCCAGCCTCCAGGCCGGCTGGGTCCGCGTGGCCCCTTCTGTGCCCGGAGGAGGAGAGACCCCTCGGCCGCCTGTCCGCCTTCCCAGAACGTTTAAGGCGGTGTCTGAGCCGCTGGCCGTTGTGCACGGCAAACAACAGCTGGGCTTGTCCCCTGCACGCCCCGTGACAGCCGTGGCCCAGGCTGCAAGGAGCCGTCCTGGTGCTTCACCGACCCGTGGTGGGGCTCCCCAACAGCCACACATGTGGAGAAACGCGCTGTCCTCGCCCAGCCGGGCCAATCTGCAGGACAGGCACGCCTCTACGCTTGGACATGCTCGGCTATGCATGCATGCGCTCCCACCGTCACCCAACGGGCAGGCACCCGCTCCTCCTCCACGCTAATCTGACTCTGGCTCTTTGACGCCGTTGCAGGTCCAGCACCTACCGCGACCTGCGGAAGGGGGTGTATGTGCCCTACACCCAGGGCAAGTGGGAAGGGGAACTGGGCACCGACCTGGTCAGCATCCCCCACGGCCCCAACGTCACCGTCAGAGCCAACATCGCTGCCATCACGGAGTCGGACAAATTCTTCATCAACGGCTCCAACTGGGAAGGGATCCTGGGGCTGGCGTACGCCGAGATCGCCCGGGTGAGTCCTGGCTGGCAGCCGGCCGGGCCCCGGCTCTGCCTGGCCCTGCCAGCAGACGCGGGCAACCTGTTCCAGCAGGGTTCGATTGCCTCTTGCCTCGGCTCTACTCGGTCCCCTGGGGCCCAGCTTGCGGCTGTGCTGGCGACCTTCAGCCCTGCCCCAACAGCACGCAGAGCGAGGATCCCTGGG